TGTCCGCTGATTTGTTTGCGCGTTTTTTGCTTTGTAGGTTTACCAAGAAATCAGTGAAGGTAATACACAGTTCAGTGCTTACCGTGTAATGCATGAAATCAATGTAGCCAGATGTTTTTTTTGTTTTTTTCCCCCTAAACATCCTACCCCTGGATTATTACTAATCTTGTTTTTTCCTTCTCAAAACATGCAATCTGTTTCAATCCACTTTGGTCAGAGTTGCGTTTGCCTGTTACTCTCTTGCTCACAACTTGATTTCTAAAAGACACTGTGAAATAACTGAACAAAGAACAAAAGAAACACTTTTCACAATACATGGGGATGCAGGTTTTTTTTTTTTTTTTGCGTGTACCTCCTCGGAGTCGTTTCCCCTTCTGCTTCTCCTGCACCTTCCTTTTGAAATGCTTATAGGCTTCTGTCTGCTGATACTTCTCCAGCTCCCTCATGTAACGCTCCTTATCTTTCTCTGCCTCATCCAAATAGCGCTAGAGAGACAGACAGAGAGAGAGAGAGAGAGAGAGAGAGAGAGAGAGAGAGAGAAATGGCTTTCTCAGTTCAAAACATTTTAAAGAGCATACGCCGTTTGTGACATAAAGGAGTCCACTTGCAGTAATTTTCAGGGATTATAGGACAGAGCGTGTGTTTAAAATGGAGTGAAAGCGCTCTACACGAGTAACACAAGGTGAGCTTGGTGTAATAACAAGTAGAACGACACTTATAGTCATTAATTTCCAAGTCTGTGTGCTGTTCCTGACCTGCTTCTCCTCGGGAGGCAGCTTGCTCCACTCGTTGCCGAGCATCCTGGTGATCTCTGGGAAGGGTACGTCCGGTCTCTCGGCCCTCAGCTGCTCCCGCCGATCGTTCATAAACCGCACGTATCCTGTTAACGGGGCTTTGGGCGCGTTGCTGTCCTTCATTGGCTTCTTCCTCTTCCTCCCTTTAGTCCAGCTGGTCCTGCGTGGCTTCTAAAGGTCAAGAGAGACAGGGCCAAGTTTCAACTTCAAATCATTTCTCCTGTGGAACTGAATAACAGCCGTGTGCTGGGAACTGGTTCGATTCCGCTTATCCACCAGGGGGTGCTGAGAATCACCTGGACATCCTTGTTGTAACTCTGGCTCTGTGAACACCAGACAGGGTTCCCCGTCACTCACAACCAGTGAGAAGGTTGCAGGGAATCCTGTGGCGACTTATTTACGTCAATTTGTGCTTTATTTAGCGTGTGAAAAATACACATAATGTAATTAAGAAGCAGTCTTTGCATTTTTTTTTTAATATTTGAGGCTTATAGTGTAAAGTGCTGATTTTTTTGCTGATAACCTAGTGATAATCATCATTTCTGGATAATGTACAGAATATAATGTAATATTCAATCTACACAACTGCATTATGATTTGTAAAAAAAACAAAAAAAAACAAACAAAAAAAAACTGTAACACACTGTAGTTTGCCTCGCCTCTGAGAAATTGGCCATGGCACCTTTTATTGGCCATTTATTTACTTTTATTTTAACATGTAATAATGTTTTATTTTCCTATATGACATTATCATGACAATATTGCAAACTGTATTTTTTTTTTTTGCGCTATCAGAACACGTCTACTGAACACAGCCGTATTCCAGAGACGGCACCTTGTTTCGTCATTGTAGGGGATTTCAAAGGCCTGCCATTACAATACATCGTTCACGGGCACTTTCCACTTGTTCAATCAAAATCAGCTACTGTGTTACCTCCTCTCCATTCCTTTGGCTGCCGTTATCAGTGTTCGCCCCAGGTGAAGCACTCTGCTCTTCCATGACCTCTGACTCAGGATTGAGCTGAAAAACAAAACAAAACATGTATAATATGACGCCATACTATACATCAGTGCATATTATGTCCTCCATTATATCATACAATAATGTATACTGACTCACAGCTGTATCTAGAACACCACAATCTCAGAATATCCACTAAATGGCCAAATGTTTGTGGACACCCTGACCATCAAACGCATATAAGACTGTAGCACACAGGTGTACAGAGTGTCTCTGCGTGCTTTAAAATTAATATTTCCCTTCACTGGAGCTAAAGAGGCTCAAACCTGTTCTGGCATGACAATGCCCCTGTGCACAAAGCGAGCTCTAGGAAGAACTCAAGTGTCCTCCAAGAAGCACACAGGGGTGTGATAGTCAGGTGTCCAGATACTACTGGCCATATATCCATCCATCCATCCATTCAAGAAAGCACAAGGCAACACAGAACAACTTCTAGTCAAGGTAAAACTTCATACTGACTTGTAATTTGATCCAAACCGAATGATTCAGGATAGATTCTGTACAAGGCAAATTGCAGTAACCAAAACAATACAAACAACCAGACGCTTTACGTCATCATATCGCGACAGGCATATGCAAAACGAGTGGTGTTCTGGTCCGGTGGGATTCATTCACGTTGTGAAAGAAATGTGATACAATTTATGTTTAAAGAAATGATGTTTTATATCATATCATATAAGGCAGCTCATATGTAGAATTATAGAAGTAAACGTTGGACACCAGCCATGTCTTGACCGATGAATATACAACGTGTATGAAGGTTTGAGCCTGATGAGTTAAAATATTTATACTCTGTAACTTGGCAAATATGATGCAATGAGGTTGTGTAGAAAGATTTCAAGGCAGTAATTAAAAAAAAAAAAACTAACTAACTTCTGTCATGCAGTGTTTGAGAATAAACTAGAACATTTTTTAAGCCTATGAGTAACTGGACTAAATGATCATTTTCAACCACTAATTTAGAATAAAGCTAAAGACTAGATATATCTAGGGAATCTTATGCTTTCACCAAAATGATTACCAAACAAGTGTACAAAGTGAAATGCTTACAGAAGTGTTTCAGTGCTGTAATCATTTACAGTTTAAAGTTCCAGGACACAACACTGACATTAACATTAAAACACAAAGCACAGCAAATCCCTTCCCAGTGGTGTCCCAAACGCCCCCATCTTACCTATATAAGCACACTATAAACAAGTACCGTCTGCACCCTATATAGTGCACTAGACACTAATAATGAGGCAGTTGGGATTGAACCAGTGAACTTAGCGTGTCGTGTTGGCCAAAAACCTACCAAAATCACACAACCTTGTCGGTAAAATATTATTATTTTGGTGTTTAAGAAAACACAAAACAACACAGAGCAACTCAGAGTCAAGATAAAAGTTCATACTGACCTGTAATTTGATCTAAACCGAATGATTCAGGATAGATTCTCTACAAGGCAAATTGCAGTAACCAAAACAATACAAATAACCAGACGCTTTACGTCATCATATCGCGACAGGCATGTTCAAAACGAGCGGCGTTCTGCTCCGGTGGGATTCATTCATGTTGTGAAAGAAATGTGTTGCAGTTTATATTAAAAAAAAAGTAATGATCTTTTATATTGTATTGTATAATGTAGCTCGTGTGTACTACAGTTAAAAAGATGTAAACATTCTTCAGTTATGATAACTAGTTTACCTGGCGGAGGGATTGCTAGAGAGTGCTAGAGATCCGGTCACTTCTTCTCGGCGACACTGAGTGTAATGAGTGGACAAGCTCAGGCTCTTTAGCGCCCTCATGCGGCAGGAACGCTTCCGTGTTTTGGGCTGAAACTCAATGATTTGCTTGCAATATGTTAGAAATATCCTACTTGTACACTGTATCATATATTACATCTATATGTATAACTGTTTTCTACTAATATTACTAATTATTATTATTAGTATTATAGTATTACTATTATTAGTATTAGTACTAGTATTATTACTAATACTAATATTCCATGTAATATTATGCAGTACAGCATATACAGTATGTGATAACACTAACCTACATGTGGCCACAGAACTTATGCATAGAATTAATCCCAGGCAGTCGTGGCCTAATGGTTAGAGAGTCGGACTTGCAACCCGAAGGTGAACCTGAAGGTAGCGGGTTTGAGTCTTGGGCCGGCAGGGATTGTAGGTGGGGAGAGTGAATGACCAGTGCTCTCTACCACCCTCAAGACTGAGGTGAGACCCTTGAGCAAGGCACTGATCCCTCCAACTGCTCCCCAGGCTCTGTAGCAAAAGAGGCTGCCCACTGCTCTGGTTGTGTGTTCACTACTGTGTGTGTGCACTTGGATGGGTTAAATGCAGAGCACAAATTCCGAGTATGGGTCACCATACTTGGCCACAAGTCACTTCACTTCACTTTAAAGCAATAAAAGAAAGGAACAGAATTGCAATAAATACAGAAATGGCATGACTGATTTTATTGTCATTTCAAACGTATACAGCTGGTACAGTACACAGTGAAAAGAAACAACATTCCTCCAGGACCATGGTGCTACATGAACAACACAAAACTACCTGAGACTACACAGAACTACACACGACATGTGCAAACAGCACTAATGTACCCTCTGTACTCTTTACATTTTTTAATAGCCTTGTAAGTCTTTGAATAATTTTCATCTGCCGATAGGATTAAGCTATCTAGGGACTTTTAATTTTGTTGGTTCAGTACTTAGTTATCTAGCACTAACTGAATGCTCTAGTGATAAGCTCATGCTTTTTCCAAATTGATTTATTCAGCAGAATAGAAACAATATGCTTTCTTTTTTTTTTTTTTTTTTTACACTTTTTACACTTATCTCATTCATTACTGAATGATCATTAATCACAAGACTGGTATTCAAATTTAACGCACATTATCAGTATGCAGCAATTTTGTGTCGGTGTGTATCATTGAATTCACATGATTAAATGCGCATTGTTTTATATAATCAATGCAAAAATTTTAATGGAAGTCAATGTTGTTCCTCTTTCGGCTGCTCCCGTTAGGGGTCGCCACAGTGGATTGTTGGTCCACATATTTGATTTGGCGCAGTTTTTACGCCAGATGCCCTTCCTGACGCGGCCTTCACTAATTTTATCCGAGCTTGGGACTTGTACTAAGAGCAAACGGTTGCATGCAACCCTAGTGGTTGGGGCTGGTTCCCTGGCCAGGAATCGAACGCGGGCCACAGAGGTGAGAGCGCTGTGGCCTAACCACTATTCCTCCATGGACCCTAATGGAAGCCAATGTAGTTTGGATAAAA